TTTGGGGAGATGCCAGTCGTGGTTCTTTCTGACCGCCCGGCCTACTCGTAATTGCACGTGGACCCCTGACCCAAACCGTAGTTTAGTTAGTCTAGTCTGTCCCGTCCCGTCTGTCCGTTCTAACCATCTACTCACTCTAACCTACCCGACTGACTTAACTCGTACTTACTCTCCGCTCTCCAGCCTGTTCTCTCATTACCTTCTTGTGATCTGAACGAACCCCTCTCCCATTTTCGCAACACCCCCCTCCCCCTCTGGGGTTCCTTGTTCCTTTTTCTTTCTCTTTGTCATTCACATCCTTTCCCTCTTCATCGGCGTCACCTTGAGTCCGGGTCAGAGTGATCATGGCGTATGTTTGTTTTGGCTCTTGCTACTCCCCTCCCCCCCCTGTTCACCGCTTCAACCCACACTTACCTCGTGGGCAACTCTCACAACGCGCACGCGGCAACGAGAACTGATGGAATTTTCGACTTGACAGGTCATCTGGCCCCAACGGCCCCAACACCATTAAGGGTGCGCATTCTCCATCCCCCTCTGCTGTTGTGTTCATTTACCCTCTGGTTCTTCCGGCTTGAAGGTGAAATCATGGTGTCCACTAAGCTAACCCGCTCCGCGACACAGTGGTTGCGAGATTCCGACCGCAGAACAAAGTCGAATTGGCATCCGGGGGTGAGCCGATCGTGGAATTCGAGAATGAACAATCATGTGTTGTCAACGTGAGTGCTCCTGTTCAGGTGAACGTTTCGAGGTGTCCCGCGACCTTTCTCTTCTCACCCTCCTCTTCCGAAGGGCAAGAGTGCGGGGAGGGAAGGGAGGAAGGAGGGGTTATGTCCCCAGTTTTTGCTAAATCCCGGCTTTTCGCGCATGTCCACAGTCCAAAGAAGGCTCTGGAGCCTTCACTTTCGATCAAGTGTTCCCCATGGACTCGAAGCAGCAGGATGTCTTCAACTTCTCGATCCGACCGACTGTGGATGACATCCTGAACGGCTATAACGGCACGGTTTTCGCGTACGGTCAGACGGGTGCGGGAAAGTCGTATACGATGATGGGTTCCGATATCGACGACGATATCGGCAAGGGTATCATTCCGCGCATCGTCGAGCAGATCTTCGCCAGCATCCTCACCAGTCCCAGTAACATCGAGTACACGGTGCGGGTCAGTTACATGGAGATCTACATGGAGCGGATCCGCGACTTGCTCGTACCGCAGAACGACAACCTGCCGGTTCACGAGGAGAAGTCTCGCGGTGTCTACGTCAAGGGCCTGCTGGAGGTCTATGTGTCCAGCGTCCAGGAGGTGTACGAGGTGATGCGCCGGGGTGGTGCGGCCAGAGCGGTTGCGGCGACCAACATGAACCAGGAGTCCTCTCGGTCGCATTCTATCTTCGTCATTACCGTTACACAGAAGAATCTGGAGACCGGATCGGCCAAGAGTGGTCAGCTCTTCTTAGTCGATCTGGCGGGTAGTGAGAAGGTCGGTAAGACCGGTGCGAGTGGCCAGACTCTAGAGGAAGCGAAGAAGATCAACAAGAGTTTGAGTGCTCTGGGCATGGTCATCAACGCGCTGACAGACGGCAAATCGACGCACATTCCCTACCGTGATTCCAAGCTCACTCGAATTCTGCAAGAAAGTTTGGGAGGTAACTCGCGGACAACCTTGATCATCAACTGCTCGCCCAGTAGCTACAACGATGCGGAAACCATCTCGACCCTGCGATTCGGTGTGCGCGCCAAGGCTATCAAGAACAAGGCGAAGGTGAACGCAGAGCTCAGCCCGGCGGAATTGAAGCAGCTCCTCCGCAAGGCCCAAAGTCAAGTTACCAACTTCGAGACCTATATCTCGGCGTTGGAAACGGAAGTCCATGTGTGGCGCAGTGGTGAAGCAGTTCCCAAGGATCGTTGGACTCCTTCAAGAGGCTCGGAAGTCGTCAGTGCGGCTAAGGCGGAGGCTCGTGCCCCTCGACCTGGCACTCCCTCTCGCTTCCAGGACATTCCCCGCTCAGAGACCCCTCGTCCCGACTCCCGATTAGGGGACCGTTCCAGCACACCAAGCCTGGTTCTCGAGAAGGATGAGCGGGAAGAGTTCCTGAGACGGGAGAATGAGCTACAGGACCAGATTGCGGAGAAAGAGTCTCACATTGCTAGCATTGAACGGGGCCTGCGCGAGGCTCGGGAGGAGTTGAAGAGCATGAAGGAGAACACCGCACGTTCGGGCAAGGACAACGACAAGCTCACCACCGAGGTGAACGAGCTTCGTATGCAATTGGAGAAGGTGTCGTATGAGAGCAAGGAAGCTTCCATCACCATGGACAGCCTTCGTGAAGCCAATTCGGAGTTGACCACTGAATTGGACGACGTGAAGCAGCAATTGCTCGACGTACGAATGAAGGCCAAGGAGACCAGCGCTGCGCTGGACGAGAAGGAAAAGAAGAAGGCCGAAAAGATGGCGAAGATGATGGCGGGCTTCGACCTGGGCGGAGATGTGTTCTCCGACAACGAACGCAAGCTTAAGGAACTGCTGTCGCGCGTGGACGAACTGCACAAGATTAGCGAAGCCGGGGAGACGATTGCGCCCGACGACCTACTGGAGCTGCGCACTAGTCTGCAGGAAACCCAGGGATTCATCCGCCAGGCTGAGCTTACGATGAATGACCGGGGCGAGCTAAGCGAGCTGCAGGACGGCCGCAGGGCGGAAGTTGAGCAGAAGCTGGCGTCTCTCGAGCGGGAATACGAGACCCTTCTGGAACGGAACCTGGGCGAGGGCGACGTGGAGGAGATCCGGGAGCGGTTAGAGAAGGTGTACGTTACGCGCAAGGAGGCGGAGATGCAGGCCGTCACGGACTTGCGCAGCGAGATTGCACGCAAGGACGAAGAACTGGGCAAGCTGCGCCAGTCCCTTGCCGACTCGCAGACCCGGGTGTCGACCAACGGCGCGGCGGGCAAGAACCTGCAGCAGCAGATCGCCGACTTCGACGCCATGAAGAAGTCCCTGATGCGGGATCTGCAGAACCGCTGCGAGCGGGTGGTCGAGCTCGAGATATCGCTGGATGATGCTCGCGAGCAATACAACAACGTCCTCCGCTCCTCGAACAACCGGGCGCAGCAGAAGAAGATGGCGTTTCTGGAGCGCAACCTTGAGCAGCTCACCCACGTGCAGCGCCAGCTGGTTGAGCAGAACAGCAGCCTGAAGAAGGAGGTCGCCATCGCGGAGCGAAAGCTGATCGCCCGGAATGAGCGGATTGCCAGCTTGGAGAGCCTGCTCCAGGAGAGCCAGGAGAAACTCACCCAAGCGAACCACCGGTAGGGATTCCTCCTCCGGCTAATCCCATCCCCACATAAGACAAGACCTCAAGCTAACCACGCATCTCACCAACAACAGCTTCGAAGCCCAACTCACCGCCGTTAAGGAGCGCCTCGAGGCCGCGAAGCAGGGCTCGACCCGCGGACTCCCCAGCATGGACGCCAGCGGCGGCTTCAACTTTAGCGGCTCCCGAATCGCCAAGCCTCTCCGAGGCGGCGGCGGAGGAAATGAGAGCAGTGCTCCCGTAGCCGGCGTCCAGTCGCAGGAGACTGGCGCCAAGCGCACGAGCTGGTTCTTCGATAGACGATGATATTTCACGATTTTTCTTTTTCATTGTGTATTATCTTTCTCATTCTTCGAAAATACTTTTTGTTGCATCATGTGTGAAACCGAAAGGAATGAAGCCCCTCGTGTTTTTTTTGGCCCTCTCGTATTGATTAGGGAGGAAAGAAGATATCCCAACCATTCTCTCTCTTTTTTTTTTTCTGTCTGACTGTGAGGCATGAGGCATGATTACATATGATATCGTTCGCGGTTCTTGTGCTTCATTGCCTTGCCCTGCCTTGCTTTTGCTTGGTCTCGAAAGTTGAGGGGATATACGTTTGATTCTCTGTTTAGATGGAAATCTCATACCCCCACCGCCCCATCCACCGCCTACTTACCTCCTACCTACCTTTCTATCTATACCCACTACCACCGCTCTTTGTCGCATAAGGATTCACCCTACAAATCATAGATGGACAGTCGTTGTGTCTGGGTGACAAACCCCGGACTCCCATCACCCTCTTGTACATGACGATCCATGATAGAAACAGAACCAAGCAATGAGAATTGCGGATCGAGATCGAGATACCTTACATTTGAACCAATCCTATGGTTTCCTGATACTGGCATTGCCAAAATTATGCTCAACTCATTGTAGGCCGCGGGTGAGGATAGTAACGAAACGTAGCCATGTCTGCAACATAAGCAAGCAATGACATCTTGGAGTGTATTTACAAATCTCTTTCCTTGCCCTCGAACCCGCCTCGGGGATCTAGTGAGTATACAGGAGCAGCAGCAGCAGCAGCAGCAGCAGCAAACATGTACATCAAGAATGATATGGGAAGGATGAAGAAGACTAAGCACAGATCCCTGCCGCCAGGAAAGAAAAGTCAAGCATTTGCATAATCCACAATGCGAGAACATAACACAGAAGACAATAACTAACACCAGGTTTAGAAAAGCGAGAGAGAGAGAGAGAGAGAGAGAGAGAGCACTGCAATAACGCTGACTATGACCCCCCACCCCGCACCATCTTTGGACGGACTGTCTTGGATGTAGATGAACACATACACTCACAAACCATAATGAAAGAACAAGGAAATGGAGAAAAAAAGATCCCATAAATGTCCCGCACACATCAAAACGCAAGCACAAACATATTCGTAGGGAATCCTTAGCGAAACAACAACAAGATGAAAACATGTATCACGTGACATGGAGAGCACCACATCGCACACTGCAAAAATAGCACAGCAGGCGACAGGCACAGTGGGAAGGAAGAACAAGAACAAGAACAAGAACAAGAACAAGAACAAGAACAAGAACAAGAACAAGAACAAGAACAAGTCGAGAACGAGTAAGCGCCAAGTTTCACCGAGTGGAGAGAATTCCAGTAAAAAGAAACAACAACATGCGAGTGGGCGGCTGGGGCGCTCTATACCAACCCATCGTACAGCGAGAGGGCGCTCACGATCGTCTCGTCCCGTTTGCTCCCCTCCTTGAATTCCTCCATGTCTAGGCTCCCGTTCTCGTCCTTGTCCATCATGCGGAAGATCTTGCGCACCCGTTTCTCGGGGGTGTCTTCGTCTTCGGGAAGTTTTACCATCGAGCCGACCTGCACGGAAGAATTAGCCGGTTAACGGGGGTGGGGATGGCATTCAGGGAACAGCCCATAGGGAAAAAGTGTGGCAAAACGCACCATCTTATAGATCGCCTCCACGATCGCCAGCATCTCATCGTACGTGATCTTCCCGTCGCCATCGATATCGTACAGCTGGAACGCCCAGTCCAGCTTGTCCTCCATCTTGCCCCGGGAGGTCACCGACAAGGCACAGATGAACTCCTTGAAGTCGATCATCCCGCTGTTGTCCGAGTCGAACACCCGGAACACGTAGTTCGCGAACGAGGACGGGTCGCCGAAGGGGAAGAACTGGCGGTAGATCTTCTGGAACTCTTCCTTTGTGAGGGTGCCCGACGGGCAGTCTTTAAGGAAGCCTGTTCGTGACCGGGGCGGTTAGCTCTTGTACTTTCTATTGTTTGTCTTTTCGCAAGCGGTTCTTGACTTTGCGTCTGGAGCTGCTGGTGGGTTGTTGTGCTCGCTCTCAATCCATATGCTGCATGTGTGTATAGATCCGGTGGGAAAGGAGCTCACCCTTATACCATTGCTGTAGTTCCTTCTTATCGAAATGTGTCGCCTTTTGGAGTTCGTCCAGCTGAGCGGGGGAGAGCTTCGATTGTCTACCATAGAGCAAAATATGACGTTAGTTTTGTGGTTTGCGGGTAACGTGACAACATGAGTACATGTTTGGAACGAGGGAGGAAGCCGTCGCGGCGCGGCGGATAAGGGTTTCGACCCGGGGGGAGGGGGTTCATGCAAGAGGTTTCGCAAAGCATGGGATGCGCAGAGGGCTAGGAAGACAGATCTAGACTGGGGTTGTCTCATGAAGAGAAAAGTCTCAAGAGATTCATCTGCGACACAAGGCCCCGAAACATTGTATCGCGCCCTGGCTTGCGTCTCCATCTCTCCATCCGCCTCTTGAACGGCGGCGCGGGACAACTGGGGAAGCGCATCACTTACGACTTGCCCATTGTCAACTATGCGTACACCACAGTGCCAATTTTGGTGATATAGAAAGGTAAGAGAGGGGTACGTCAGGGATGCGTGTGCGGGATGGACGGCGCAGAGAAGGACGAGAGAAGACACGGAGTTTCGGATAGCGCGGGGTAAATCAAGCGGCGGTGGTGGGACCGATAAGAGGGAATAAAAGGGACCGAGGCTGTTCGTGGGAAATAGTATAGTGGTGTAGTGTAAGTCTAGTGTAGTGTAGGCGTGAAGATGAGGGTGACGTCGCAGTATAGCAGGATGATTTAGAGAGAACAGAACACGGAACAAGAAGAGGAATCCGATTTAATTGAGAAATGAGAACTGGGCCAAAGGAAAAGTAGTGGCGACGCCCGAGGGATCGAATCGGTGATGCTTCCTTCATAGCCCCGAGCCGCCGGTCCAGAACATGTTTATGTGCGGCCTTGGCAATTGCCCTCGCGGTTGAAACACGACTTGGGTTGACTTGGGGTTGACTTGGGTTGGGCTAGATCCTCACAACATGCACATCTCTTCGTCACCCTCTCCCACTGTCTCCACTCCACACTCTTCCATCATATTGTACACATACGGACCACGCCCAATGGGTCTCCCCCATCCCCCCATCATTGCCCTTTTCAGAAATCGACAGTCGATCCGTCCGTCACTCGTTCCCCCAATTTATGTACAGCCATCACCTCCAAAAAAAGAACAAAACAACAAACACCAGCGCAGTATGACAGCGGAAAGCAAGAATCATGCACAAAGCAATAGAACAATAAACTGTCGCTTTGCATGGGATATCCTAGACAAGGGACCGTGACAACTATCTCATAAAAATGACAAGAGCAGCGACCAGCATTCACCGACTGGGCCTACGAGGTACAAAAACGACAAGATCTCCCAGGAAATGGTCATATGCTTCACGAGTGCGAACCATTGTCCCAGAGTCTGCGAAAGTCTAACGCTGGGGGGAGTTAATAATAGCAGTCATACCCCGGATGAGGCAGTGGAGGGGGTTTTTCTGGTTGGCCTGGGCGAGGCAAAACGCCTCGGTGGCTCCACAGGGAGCGGGCCGAGTTGACGACGCGATCAAAAATCGTGACTGCAGATTCTCTAGTCGACCTTGATCGAGCCGTAGATGCGCTGCACAAACGCCCAGCTGGCAAAGAAGCCAATCGAGCCTGTTCATTAATGGTCAGTCGAATACTCCGAATGCATCCCCGATCTCAAGAGGGTCGACAACATACCGGTCAGAATAAAGACCACGAAGCCGATCAAGGCGGAATAGCCAATATACAGAACAGCACCCGTGAGGCCACCAAAACTGACCCGCGTGATCCAGAACAGCAAGGCGTTCAGGAACACATACACTCCGGTCATTCCGGCGCCGGCAAACGCCCTCCAGTGCCACCGGTAGTTCTCCGCACACAGCAGGAAATAAACCAACAAAACCGTCGTGGCAGCCGAGGTGATGACCATCAAGCCATAGCAAAGGAACAGGAACCCAAACATGTAGTAGATCTTGTTGGTCCAGAGCGAAGTCATGATGAAATAGAGCTCCACAAAGATGGCCCCGAAGGGCAGAATGCCGGTCAACAGGAGTGACGGAATCGGGCGGAGCGTGCCAGCCATGGGCGGCACTTGGCGCGGGATTTGGTTGGTCTTGGTCGGTCCCTCAATGGCCTGTCAACTCGTTAGCAAGACTCGCCGTCGGCACGCTCGGGAGTGATCTACCTGTTGTTTGAATCCCAGCCAGCTTCCTGCCACACTGAGCGGCACGCTGATGACGAACCAAATCATGACCAGAGCGAGCATGGTGGTGAAGGGTACAGCTCCGCTGGATCCCTTGGCCCAGACAAACAGGTTGAGCAGGAAGAAAGTGCCGAAAATAAGGGCTGGGACCAGCACAGGGGTCATGATGATATTGCGCTTCCAGGCATCCCCACCCAATGACTTGTAGACACGTGCCGAGACATAGCCTCCGATGAAGCCAAAGAGCGTGTAAATGATGAGAATAGCCGTCGCAAGGAAGCCACGGTTCGCAGGGGAGAGGAGACCGAAGAGGGCAAACACTGTCCATAAAAGTTAATACCATGACTTGCAAAATAATTGTAAGGCAGCTTACCAACGGTGACACCGGTCATCATGAAGAGCTGAGCGCCATTGCCCACAAGCACGCTGAGCAGCAAGGGAGCCTTAGGACACCGGAACACATCGCCATGAACCAACTTCCAGCCCGAATCCTCCTGGATGCCGTCCTCCACGGCTGCCGAAGTGCTGTCGAAATCATCCAGGTTGATCATGTCGAGTCTGTTATAGCGAGCGATATCCTTCTTCAGAGCCCGGATAAGAATCATGCTGACCATACCCACGAGGAACACCACGAACACGGCCGAGTTGATCAGAGAAAACCAATGGATCTTGGGATCGTAGACGTGCAGGTATTTATCCCAACGGGTCGCCCACGGGGTGGACGACTCACGCCAGTAGACACTGTAGGTCCAAGCCACAGTCGTCTCACCTTCCTCGTTCAGAACAACGCCAGTCCCATCCGTTTCGCACTCCGCGGTCCCGTCTTCCAAAACCCGAGCGTTGACCCGCGACTCGGGTTGCACAAGCACACCGACGACGCGGTACTTATCCTGGGCCCCGTACCCGACGCGATGGTAGTCGATCAGGATCTCGAAATGGTTGTTCAGCACCGGAAGGCCGTCATCGTTGATTGAGCCGAGCGCGAATCCCGGGCTGTAGAACCTGTCCTGGGTCACAGCTTCCATGTTGATCTGGGCGCCGGGCAGACCGTCAACCAGCCAGTTGATGTTGTATCCCTGCTCGATCCTCCGGTTGACGAACTTCGCACTGCGGGCGTCGAAGGTGGCCGTACCACAGATGGCCTTGCAGGTCTCATTCTTGCCCATGTGCAGCTCCAGCGGTGACGTTTGGATCCGGTCGCCGAACAGAATGGACCCTAATGATTCCCGGACATCCTTGGGCCCGCCCTCGGGAGCGCAGAACCTGAAGGCCGGGTGATAGTAGTCGTAGGAGAAGACGGAGTGCAGCTGCTCGTCCTGCTGCGCGAGACCGGGGGTGAGGTGGTTCACGTAGAGCGGCACCGACTGACCCTCATCGTACGAGGTCGGGGCAACACCGGGGAGGTAGAAAGCGGCGGACAACGAAGGGGCAGAAAGAAGAAGGGTGGTCAAAGGCAGCGCTCGATTGCTGAACCACATGGTGGGCGATTCTAGAAAGAGGCGAGCGGTATTAGCTCGTGTCCGTGGCTCTGAGAGGCCAAGAGATAGGATGCTCGGGGCCGGGCCTAGCCACCGATAGTATGCGTAGCTTTGTTTGGGAATGAAACTTACAGAGGGTAGCTTCCACGCCACAAGCGATTCTCGAAGATCGCACGAGTTGGCCGCTCGAGGGGGAACTGTAGCAGAAACCAACTCGAAGGGCGGAATACGGCACCTTTATGAGGGAACGGAATGGGAGAAAGAAAGAATTGGGAGAGACCAAACCGAGCTGTTCCCAGAACGGCGGGAGCGTCGTCACTTCACAGTTGCTCCCGTTGTTGAGGCCAGCTCGTCGCACTTGGCCCACGTGACATCCCGTTGCCATTGACTAAGGACTTAATCGGCACGTGCCGATAAGCCATCTCTAAAAATTTCCTATCGAAATCTTCCGCGGCCAAACACATCAGAACGAAATCACACACACCCATCGAATTGCAATGGCGGCGACAGTGTCGCAAACTGCGCCTTCGGGCCTGCAGAATGTTTCCACTCTCCTGGAGACTCTCACTACATGTTTGAACAACACCGGCTCGTCCCTGCCCAAGGCCGAACGGGAAACCCCCTCCGATGTGTCGATCGAGCCGCCGCAAGACGGCATTTCGCTTCTCGACACCAAATCCGACCTCCTCCTGTCATACCTCCAGAACCTCGTCTTCTTGATCATCTTCCAACTGCGAGGCCTGAAGAAAGATGAAGAAGACGAGGATGTCGACGAGTCCCTCCCGGAGGACATCGTCAAGAAACTCGTGGAGCTACGCGTCTACCTGGACCGCGGTGTCCGCCCGCTGGAGGGTAGACTGAAGTACCAGGTAGACAAAGTCATCAAGGCCGCGGAGGATGCCGAGCGCGCAGAGCGGGATGGTGTTTCTACGGGCAAGAGCAAGAAAGCCAAGGGCTCCGACGCTGAGGATTCCGGATCCGAGGGCAGCAGCGACAGCGAGGGCGACAGCGATGAGGAGGACGAGGAGGAGGGAGATGGAGAGGACATCGACGAGATGGCCTACCGGCCCAATGTCTCGGCCTTCTCGAAGAAGGCGGAGCCCCAAGCCAGACCCGACAAGTTCAGCCAAGAACCCGCTGGCGATGGTATCTACAGACCGCCCCGGATCATGCCTACGGCTCTACCCACAACCGAGCGGAAAGAGCGCCGCGAGCGGCCCGCGCAGCGGTCGAATGTCATTGACGAGTTCGTTAGCGCGGAGATGTCGTCCGCTCCTATGGCGGAGCCGAGCATTGGTAGCACGATTGTGCAGGGTGGTCGACACACGAAGTCGAAGAAGGAGCGCGAGCGGGAGGCCGAGCGGACTGCATACGAAGAGACCAACTTTGTGCGCCTGATGAAGGAAAGCAAGAAGGACCGTGCCAAGCGACTCCGGGCCGAGGGACCGCAGAACCAGTACGGTGGTGAAGATTGGAGGGACCTTACCGCGGGCGCCGACCGGATCACGAAACTCACTCGCCGGGCCAAGGGCAGCGGAGGTGCATTGGACAAGAGTCGGAAACGCAAGATCACCGAGGATGGCCAGCGGGACGACGGAGTGGGAGTTGGTCAGATCTTCGAGAAGCGGCGCAAGAAGGTTGACAGCTGGAAGCGGTGATTTCTATGCTTTGTTTTTGTTTTGTGTGTGGAGTATTTTCAGATTACATTCGATACCATGAAAAGTCGTGATTCTATTGTCTAGATTGTTCGTTACCAAGGGTGGAGTGAAGAGTTT